GGAGACACCCTGAGCTAAAGCAGCAGGTGCAGCTCTCAGCGCCGGGCCAGAATGGACCTGAGAGGCCAGCCTGCCCAGCGCCTCTCTAACACGGTGACGTTTGGAGACTGTGTAGTTAAACGCGATGTCACAGGGACCGCCAGTGAGCGCCACAGGTGACAGCGGCTCTGACCGACACCTGCCCGTCTCAGCTATGGCCGTCACCCCTCCCCTGAGGGACCCCAGGGTTCCCAGGAACCCGCTTTGAGAAGCACAGCGAGGGTGGCCACCAAGGGCGGGGCCGGGCCCGCACGCCCACCTCCACCCATGTCCTTCCTGTCACATACGGAACGGCAGACCTCCTCCCCGGGGAGGGAGCTCGTGTTACCAAGTCACTCGATCCCTCCCGGCTTCTGCGACGCCCAGGGGATGGTCAGGGTGAAACCCAATCGCCCGGGTGGCGGGCCTGTGCCCTAGATGGCCGTGCTGCCCGGCCAGGCGGCCCTCCGCGGAGCCGCGGCACATGCAGCCGGACCCCGAGGCCCAGCCAGCATCCCGGGAGGCGCAACAGGACAGGACCCTGATGGCACAGGGTACGCTGGGCGTGGGGGCGGGGCTTCCCCGAGGGGAGGCGCCAGGCCAGCTGTGCCCCCGTAGCATCCTCATTAACGGCCTCGTTAGGGGCCCTAATGAAGTGGAAGGTGCCAGTTCCTCCAGGAGGTGTTGTCAGCACCGGACAGGGAGTCTCCCCTGGGGAAGCTGCGGGAACTGCAGGCGCACTGCCTGCCGGCTGGCGGGGGGAGGGGGGCGCAGGAGCAGGGAGGGCGAGGCCTCTGCCCCTCGGAGCATGCAGTGGTTGGGCCGGGAAGGGGCCCGCATGGACACCCCGAAACTCAGAGACGCAGACACATGCGGGGCGTGCTGGCAGGCGCACCGGCGTGGCCTCGGGCCCGAGCTCCGCGGTCTGGGCTGACCTGTGGCGGGTGATTCCCGTCTCACTGGTCGAGTGGATTAAAGAGGCAGGCAGGGCGGGCTCAGCCAGCCAAGGGGGCTCCTAGGAGATGACACCATCCCTGCCCGAGAAGGTAGGTCAGAGTGAGGGCAGGGTGAGGGCAGGCGTGGGTCAGCCTGGTCACTAGAGACAGACAGCGGGGCCTTTCTGTCGGGGAGCGCTGACCAGATCACAGAGATCAGTGCCGCTGCCACACCTCCCGGCAGGGGCTCCGTGCGGCGAGGAAAAGGCCTGCGCCCCCTCACCCAGGAGAGACGGTTAATCAATACCAGTGATGCCGCTAATACTTTCTATGAGCTAAGTGTTCGCTGCGCATTGTTTCGTTTACTTCTCATGACTCCCTATGAAGTGGGTGCCGTCATTATCCCATTTTGCAGATGAGGAAACTGAGGCTCCACGAAGGGAAGGTCACAGACAACTAGAAGTCAGGGACCAAGGCGCGAACCCAGGGCCGCCCCACTCCAGGGCCGAGGAAAGGCAGCAGTGAGTGCCTTGGGCGGCCACCACTTCCAGGCCTGAGAATGCAGGAGAGGAAGGGTTCCCGGGGAGATGGGGGTCGGGCGTGTCAGGGCACGGGGGGGGGGGGGGGGGGGGGGCAGGAGAGGACCACGGGCGGCACAGGGAGGACTCAGTCCGAAGAGACGCAAACGCGGGATGGGTGCCTGCCTGCGCCTGCCCGTGCCCTCCCCACGCCAGGCAGGACGGAATGGTCCGGGGCTTGAGGCTCAGGCGGCCGGGCAGTGCCCTCTGCGCTGCGCCAGGCACCTCCGCCCTCCACTACAGCGTGAGTGTGGGACAAGGCCCCTTCCTAGTTCAGGAAAATAGCCTCCAAGGGGAATTCAGAAACCAAGCCTGGCCTGGCAGGACCAGGGAACCCTTTCTGCTATCGGAAACAGGTCCATGCCAGCCCCTCTGAGCGAGCCCGGCAGAACCCCCTGGACCAGGGGTGGGCAAACTTTTTGACTCGAGGGCCACAATGGGTTCTTACACTGGACCGGAGGGCCGGAACAAAAGCATGGATGGAGTGTTTGTGTGAACTAATATAAATTCAAAGTAAACATCATTACATAAAAGGGTACGGTCTTTTTTTTTTTTAAATTTTATTCATGTCAAACGGGCTGGATCCGGCCCGCAGGCCATAGTTTGCCCACAGCTGCCCTGGACGGAGGCTCTGGGGCACGGGAGGCCCCAGCCTGGCTGCCAGGGCAGGTCCTGCCGCCCGCCCTCGGCCCTTCCTCCTCATTCCCGGCAGCCAGCCGCCCTCCTGGAACAAGCGGCAGGAAACAAAAGGCCCCGATTGATTTCTGGGGAGTTGGCTGGTGGCAGTGGCAGGGCCAGTGGCAGGTGGCGGGTTCTCCTCGTGGATGAGCGGAAAATACTTCGCGTGGGACTCGAAGCTGGAGCCTCTGAGAAGTGGTCAGTGGATGAGGGGCACAGGGGTCCCGCGGCCTGGCTCTGCTGCTCACTGGCTGAGTGCCCCTGGGCGGGTCACGTCGCTTCTCTGGGCCTCGGTTTTCCCATCAGTAAAAAGAATAGCACTCACCACGCAGGGTTGTTAGAAAGACTAAAGAAGGTGATATTCATGAGCTGCTTGCTACAGTGCCTGGTATGTAGTAACTCTATATAAGAATTAAAAAAAAAAAATAAGCAGGTGACAGATTAATTGCTGGAGCTGTTTCTGTGCTTCGCCCAGGGTGGCCGCAGGCATGGCCCCATGAGTTGGGGCTGCTCCCTTTCGTCCTCTCCGCGGGACTTGGTGCCCGGCCCCCGGGTTGCTCTTTTGTGGAGAGACCTGGCTTCGGAGCCTGACTTGGCCCTCACTCACTCGGTTATTTGACCTCTTGGAGCCTCAGTTTTCCCATCTGATATGGGCACAGCCATACCCCCAACAGGGTTGTTGTGAGGGACGCAGGAGGGGCCTCCCCGGGCTTCCAGGCCATCCTGGTGGGGGTTGTGGGGAAGCTGCTTGTGAATCCCAGACCCTGGGGGCAGCGGGGGGCACGTGGCAGTGGCGTCCCCTCCTGCCCGGGCCACACCAGGCCCACGGCTGCAGTCCCCGGCCAGGGTACGTGAGGACCCATCTGTAGCTGAAATCCGGCCCCGGCCGCGGGCAGGCTCGGCTCTGCCTTCTGCTGCGGCACAGCTGATGCGAGAAAAGCGACAGCTTTCGGCCCCTAACTTGGGCTGCACGCACCCGGGCACAGGCTGGTGGCACATGGGGCCCCGGCCCACGCCCGCTCTCTCTCTGCCGCCTCCCTCGCAGCCCTCTCCCTTCCTGTGACTTTTCGAGCCCAGCCTCTGAGTGGGGTGCGGGCCCGGGAGGGGAAGGGCGATCGGGGAGGAGGGACGGGTGGGCCTGGTCCGCACGTGTGGGCATGCAGCCGGCCTCACGGCAGTCTTCTCAAGTGAAGTCCCGGCTCTGCCTCGCCTTGGCCACGGGATCTCTGGGCAGACGTTGTGCCCGTCGGAGCCTCAGCTCCTTCCTCTGTGAGGCCGGCGTAATAGCCCTCGGAGAGTTTCACTCCGCGCTCTCTCCCGGCTCCACGGCCCGTCACCTGAGACACACCATGGAAGTGCCCTGGGTTCAGTTCCCTCTGCGGCACAATGGCACGACACCCACACTCCCCCACGCTCGCCCTGAGGCCCTGCCTCCGCACCCCACGGGGGGTGCTTGCAGCCGGGGCCGGGGCTCAGAGCCGGCACTCAGCTGCACCTGCTCCCCAGAGGCCGCGTGCCGTGGCTAAGACACAGGCTCCGTCCGGCCAGGCTGTGTGACCGGGGCGGCCCCTGCACCCCGTCTGTGAAATAGGGTGTGAGCAGCGCCAGCCACGAGTGGTTACGGGGACGGCGTGAGTTATATCTGGGAAGGACTTAGCCACAGCCCAGGGCATGGTGGGTAACTGACCAATGCACACACGGGTGGTACAAGGACAGGGTCCCCAACTTACAGGTGGGCTGAGCTGTCCCCACCCCCGTCACCCGGGGACCCCCGGCGTGTGAGCCCCTTCCTCGGAGAGAGGTCGCCAGCCCTGCGGCTAAGAAGCGGAAGACAGGGGTCCGCCCCCAGCGAGACCGGCGCCCGGGACGCTGCTGAAGAGAGAGGAGCCATCTGCCCACCGTGGGGGCAAGCGGGCCGCCACTTGCCCAGCAGGCTGCCCGGGGCCCAGCTCACTGCGGCCAATCCCCCCTCCGTCAGATGCCCCCCCAGACTAGATGTGCTCCAGCACCCGGCACAGAAACACTCGGAATGAGACAGGCCGAGGGGGCCCGGCAGGCAGCAGGGCCTGCCCCTGTCACCGTTTGGGGAGCACCTTCGGCTTTCAAAGCACTTTCCGTGGAATCGCATTCATCCCGGGGGTGGAGTCCTGGGCCCTCCCCTCAGGGCAGCAAGGCTCAGAACCCCCCCTCCCCCCCGCCCCCCCCATCCCAAAGCTTAAAGAGCCCTGCAGACCCCCCAGTTTCCCTTTTCCCTTTGGCTGCCAGGAAGCCCGGAGTCTGATGAGAGTTTTAGGTGCAGTTATGGGGCCTTTCTGTCCCGCCCATCTGTGATGGGTTCCAGTGGATCTCCCCGATCTTCTACCTCAATTGCTTAGTGTCTGTCCTGAGATGTATCCATTTTTAGATTTACGCTCTGCCTTCTCATGGTTTGTGGCCTCACAAGGCGCACACAGCGTTTGCTGTGGACACAAACACTAACATTTGTTAACTGACGGTAGGACAAGCCTCCCGTCAGTCCCAGCGCCTCCTCCCCCAGGACGTGCGGCAACTCTCTGGCCTGGGGAGGCTGCCCTTGGTCGGGACGGGCAGCTCTAGGGCGTGGCTAGACCCAGCGGGGTCACCGGCCTCAGCCGGCAGGGGCTGGGCAGGGGCCGGGCCCCCCACCCCCCGAAGGTGGACTGGGGCCTGGAGGCTGGGCCGCAGAGCAGTGGGGGGAGAGGGGGGGAGCCGCCTGCCTGGAGCGGGAGCCGCGCAGGTGGCTGAGACCGCCCAACGCGCTGCCTTCTTGCAGACTGACCGCCAGCCAGCCAGCGAGGGAGCCGTGGATGCTGCCGGCCCGGCCCGAGAGCCATGCGTCTTCGAGAGCATGAGAGAGCGGATCCCAGCGCAGGCTCCCTGGGGTGGCCCTGTTCATGGTGTGTCTCTCGGGAGTGGAGTGGGTGTGCGGGGGAGGAAGGCGGGGGCCGGCGCGGGGCCTCGGGGCCTTTCTGGGCCTCGGTTTCCTCACATTCGAGGGGGTGGCTGGCGTTCCTGCGTTCGGGGTGGCGTCCCGGTGCCGCCTGCTCAGCCCCCTGCTCCTCGGGAGCCTCTGGGCCTGGGTCCCCGCGTTCTCCAATAGCAGCCGCATGACGAGCCGGCGTTGTGAGCGCTGCCCGCGTGGCAGGTGCCGCCTGACGTGTGAGTCGTTGAACCCTCACGCCCCTGAGGCAGAGGCTGTCTTGGCCCCGTTTGGTAACAAGGCCCGAGGCCCAGAGGCTACGGAATGTGTCGGCGGTCACGCGGCCGGTGTGTGGAGAGCCCAGACTCAGACGCGGTCTGTGTTTGTTTATGTCTTTATTTACTTACTAGAGGCCCAACGCACGCAGCCCTGGCTTCGTCCAGAAGGTCGTCTGGAAGGTCGTTTGGCTGTCCAGTCTAATTAGCATATTATGCTTTTATTTTTATAGATTATTTTAATATATTTTTTTTGATTTCAGAGAGGAGGAGGATGGGAGGGAGGGATAGAAACATCAATGATAAGAGAGAATCATTGATCAGCTGCCTCCTGCACGCCTCCTATGGGGGATGGAGCCCACAACCCAGGCACGTGCCCTGACCAGGAATCAAACCCAGGACCCTTCCGTCCACAGGCCAACGCCCTATCTACTGAGCCACACGGGCGAGGGCCACAGTCTGTATTTAGAGCGTGTGTGTGAGAGTGACGCTGGCACCGCGTCACTGCTGTGAGGATGGGAGGGCCCAGACCAGGAGGCTCGCGGCTGGTGTCAGACATCCCTGTGGCCTGCACCTGGCGGTCATCCCTTCAGACTCCACCTCCCACCCCGCCCCGGGCCCAGGTGCGAAATGTCCTGGGCTGGCCTGGGAGCTGGAGGGGGCTCTGTTGGGGTCTCTCGCAGCACATCAGCCTGTCCCTGTGGGCACCAGGGACTGCGGGCGAGCCAGGGGACCTGCCGTCTCCCCCGTCCCAGAACCCTGCACAGGGCCCCCTGGAGGGAGGACACAGCCATGTCCTCTGCCCTCCCTGGGACCCCTCGGTTCCTGGGACCCACTGCCAAGGGGCTTTCCTCCCTGAAACCTATTCCCCGGGCCAAGCCCAAGGGGACTCTGGGATGAGGGGACGAGGCCCAGTCTGGGGTGCTTGAGCCAGCAGCCCCCAAGTCCCTGGTGAGGGGTGTTACCCAGGCAGGACTTACATCTGCTCAGTCCAGGCCTCCGTCAGACAGAGCCAGTCACGGGCAGGGCAGCATCCGGTCACCGTTCCCCTGCCAGGAAGTCTCGGGGCTCTGTTAAGTGACGTCACCACAAATAGAGGCTTGGGGTCTGCCAGGGCCAGTGCGAGCCCTCCAGGGGCATCATTGCAGCCAGTTCTCCCTACAGCCTTCCGAGGGGGGGGGTCACTCCACTCTGCAGAGGAAGACCGAAGCCCTCGGGGGGCTAGGGCAGCCAGAGGCGGCAGGGGGTCCCCCTGAGCAGGCTGGGGAGGCATTGAGTGGCGTGTTTCCCAAGAGCCAAGAGTGTGAGCTAAAGGGGACCCTTATGCCAGGAAGGGAGTGCCTCAGGGGGCCTTGGGATGCGTCAGGGCGAGGAGGGGGTGCGGGGCAGCGGAGGGAGGCGGTGCTGGCTGGGAGGGTGGATGTGTTCACACTCCAGGGGCCCGAGAGCAGGTGTGAGGATGAAGGACGTGCAAGGCCCTGGCCCCAGGGACTCCCGGCCGAGGTGGGCCAGGGATGGGCAGCAGGAATGGGCGAGTTTCTTGTAAGACAGTGAGTCCAGGGCTGCACTGGAGTGAGGGGTCCTGGGACCCCCTAGCGGGCATCCTGTTCAGCCTGGGGGCTGTCAGGGAGGGTTTCAAAGAGGAGCTGACCCTTGGCGTGTCGCGTTGGGTTTTCCCTGGCAGGGGAACTGGGGTCAACAAAGCACAGAGCCCTCCAAAGAGGTGAGTGTAGGGAGCAGCAAGCTGGGGGGCAGCCGGAAAGGAGGGGGTGGCCGTGTGAGAGGGGCTGGAGCACCGCCCCAGCCAGGAACCCGCTGGCCGAGGGCAGGACCTGTGCTGGGGTCTGTCCTACTGGTTGGGGAGGATTTTCCAGCTCCAGGATCAGAGAGGGCAAGGCACCTGCCTGGCGTTGCACAGCCTGCCAGCGGGTGATGGGCAGCCCTTAGCCAGTGCCTGGGGCTTGGACTCGCCCCTGCAGGCCACGGGGCGGGCGGTTTGTAAAGTAGGGGAAGCTCATGTGCATTTTAAGAAGACTTTGCATTTGCAGGAAGAGGAACTCCCAGAGTGGCTCACGCTTAACCCCGGGGCCTGAGTCCCCATCAGAGATTGGCCTTTGTGGATGGGGCCACTCCAGGCCTCGAACTCATACTTGCCTGGGCTGGGGGCTCAGCCAGGGGCACGGAGCGGGCGCCATGCCTGCCCTGGAAGTGCCACTGGCCTGGGGCTAGGAGAGGGAGGCTGAGTGCCCGCTGCCCATGGAGGTTGTTGGAGGGCAGCGACCCTGTGCCCCGGGCGGGCGAGGAGAGCCAGATGATGCAAGGCGGCCCCAGACCAGGAAGCGGCCTCTGTCCCCCCCTTCCCCCACCCCCCAGACATTTCCTCCAGATGAAATCACATCCCCACGGGGAACAGACCCGCATTGTGAAGCACAGGGGTATCCAGAGAAAGGACGCCTTTCAGGCCCTTAAAAATAGCAGCCCCGAGACGCACGGATCTGCAGGGACTGGCCTCGTCCCCGCCTCCCCCGGCAGCGGCACAGGCCGTCACCCGCACCCAGACCACGGCCTGTGGGTGACCAGCTGGAGAGTCGCTGGCCCGGGCAGGGGAGGGGCAGCTGCCCAGCAGGGTTTCGCTCTCTCTCTCTCTCGGCCTCCCCCTCCCCCACCCCCTCCCCTGCTGAGACCCTGGGGCCTGCGCTGGCATTTGCCAGCTTGGCCAGGGCCTCGGTGGACCGGCTCCCGTGTGGTCCTCACCAGAGCTTTTAGCAGGTGGGATAGCGACAGCTGAGGAAGCTGAGTCACAACTAGTAAGTGACACACGAGTGGGCGGTGGAGCCTGGGTTCAAGGCCCCGAGGCCTGTGCACGGGATTCTGCAGGCGTGGCCGTGCCCAGGTGCGGGCCAGAGGGGCCGGGCTTGGCCCCGGGTCTGTCACGGGGCACCCATGGGGCCCACGTGGTTCGGTGGGCCCTTCACAGACCTTCAGCCACCTGTGCAGGGCCAGGAGCCAGGCCGGCTCTGCTTCTCCCACCTGAGCCAGGGAGGCCGTGGCCGTGTGCACGCGTGGGGCTGCGTGTGAGTTCGAGGGGGATGCGAGGATGGCACGTGTGAGTTGAAGGAGTGTTCATCCTTCTAGACTCCACGAGGTGGAGGGAGGGGGGCAGGCCATTGGGAAGGGTCCCCAGGGCACACCCAGGACAGGAAGTTCTGGGCTGCTAGCAGGGGCGGGCCTCACCTTCAGCTGCTGGTGCTGCCCGGGGAGGGGGCGGGGGGGGGGGTCCTCCCTCCACCCGAGGGCTGGTGCTCCCCTCCCTCCACCAGGGCACTCCTGATTAGAGCAGGGGGCGGAGCTACATCGCCTGCTGGGAGGCACAGCGGCTCCCGCTGGCCCCAGCCCTCCCAGTCATTCCTTTGGAGTGAGGGGGGCCCTGAGCCCCACCCCACACCCCCCCGGAGACTAGGAGGGGCAGTGGAGAACTGGTGGCAGGACCCCAGCTGTGGGCAGCTGTGGGCAGCTGTGTCCGGCCCTGGCCTTGCTGCCACCCCCGGTCCCCTCCTTTCTAACCAAAGCCGGTGCTGCCGGCCACGTGTCACAGACACACCACCGGAGCCCTAGTCCCCGGCCCCCCGCCCCCCACCTCGTGGCTCTGTGCTCCCCATCCTTCTCCCTGCTTCCCAGAGTCCGCGCTCCAGCTCCTCCTTGTGAGAGTGGGATGATGTCACTTCCTGAGGGTGGGGGGAGGAGTAGGCACGACCCCAGCCGCGAGCCCGCCAGCGGGCCCGCCCGCCCGCCTGCAGCCGCTAGAGGAAGGGCTGCGCCGGGAGGGAGATGGGGACCTGCTGGGCCGGGCATGCGGCGGCCCCACTCCCCCTGGCCCACCCCAGGGCTGTGTCCGTCCGCTGCGGGAGGCTTGCCCGCTTCCTTCCTGAGTGATGCTGGTCTCCGAGGACACTCGTTTTCCCAGGAGCCGCCATGGGGAGAGGATCCGGTGCCATGTAAGCCTCTGCCGGCCGGGGCAGCTGTCCGCCCGCCAGCGGGGCACCGGCCCTCTGCAGCGGGGGTGGCCCTGCACAGTTGGACGCAGGCCCCCCCCTGGAGTCCCTCTTCAGAGCCCCCGGACCAGCCCCCGTGGGAGCCTCCCAGCTGCTCCCCCACCCTGGTCCCCCTGCCCTAGGGATGGGGCCCGGATTGCTGGGCGCTCCTCCTGAACTTCCCTCGGCTATTTTGAACTCTAACTTCAGAGTGAGGACCGGGCAGTAAAGGCTGCTTGGCTCAGGGTGGGCACAGGAGGGTGGGTCACCCTGCAGGGCTCACCCGCTGCCCCTCCCGCCGGGTGCCTCAGGCGTGCTCTTGACCCTGAATCTCAACCGTGTCCTTCCCTACCAAGAGGGATAGCTGAGGTTGGCAGTTCTTCCCGGTGGGTACAAAACCAAGGCATGGAGCATGCTCCCAGGGCTCCGGCAAAGCAAGAAATTGAAGACCTAATTCAACATACGTTTACTGAGGACCTACTGTGTGCTGGGCCCTCCCACTTCCATGCTTGCCACCTGCCCCGAGGCCTTCAGCCTTCTACCTGCCCTGCCCATCTCATGCTGGGGAACAGGCTCCTGCTTGGCCTGGGAAGCCCCCACCCCACCCCGGAACTGTGGGCACGGGGCCAGGTCAGGGCGGGGAGCTCCCTGATCTCCTGCAGGGGAGGCAGGGGGTGAGCCCAGGCCTTGCATGGGGCTGAGCAGTTACTGTTGGGGTCACCCCAGGGCAGAGCTGATCCCAAGGGGCAAGTGCCAGTCTCAGGGGCTGGAGGGCCCACAGGAGTAGAGCGAAGCCCGTCTGGCTGTGGAGAGCCTTTCTGCTGGCTCTGGGGGTGGACGGGGCAGAGGTGGGTCCTGCCCAGAGGGGGGTCAGCACCTCCGGGGCCTGGAAGCCTCTGGACTTGGGGGGGGGGAGTGGAAGAGAGGCCTGTGTCGCTGGGCACAGCTGGCCAGAGTGTGGTGTCTCTGGGTGCCTGGTGGCCCTGGGTGCCGGGTGGCCCTGGGTGCTGGGTGCCGGGTGGACCTGGATGCCGGGTGGCCCTGGGTGCCGGGTGGCCCTGGGTGCTGGGTGGCCCTGGGTGCCACGGGGGCCGGGCAGCCACAGGGCCCTCTGCTCTCTTTCAGGAGGTGAGCGCCAGGCCTGCTGAGCCCCTGCAGAGCCGCCAGCCATGCCCGGGATCGTGGTGTTCCGGCGGCGCTGGTCTGTGGGCAGCGACGACCTCGTGCTGCCGGCCATCTTCCTCTTCCTCCTGCACACCACCTGGTGAGGCTCGGGCCTTGCCGTACGGGGGCAGGGGGGGATAGAAAGAGGAGAAGGAGGCTTCCCGGCTCTCTGTGCTGACCTGCCAGGCTCCCAGCTCCCAACAGGAGGTGCTTGAGACATACACCCCTTTGGTGACAACCACGTGGGGCGTGGGGACCCCAACGGGCCACCTCCAGCGCTGAGCCCGGCACCGGGCAGGCGGCCGCCGTCTCCGGGGGCTGGCAGCCGGGCTCTCTCCCCTCTGTCCTCAGAGGCGCTCGGTGCCCGGTGGACAGGGGCCCTGCCCCGCTGAGGCCAGGCTGGGCGGGGCCAGGGAGGTGTGCAGGCTGCCGGCCCCTCTCACACGCGTGTCCCCAGGTTTGTGATCCTGTCCGTGGTGCTCTTCGGCCTGGTCTACAACCCGCACGAGGCCTGCTCCCTGAACCTGGTGGACCACGGCCGCGGCTACCTGGGCATCCTGCTGAGCTGCATGATCGCCGAGATGGCCATCATCTGGCTGAGCATGCGCGGGGGCATCCTCTACACGGAGCCCCGCGAGTCCATGCAGTACGTGCTCTACGTGCGCCTGGGTAAGGGCCGCCCGCTCGGTGGGGGGCTGCTCCGGGCACCCCCGCCAGTGCGCCGTGTGCAGCCAGCGTCAGCTGGCACATGCAGGGGGGCCCAGCAGACTTGCGGGGCTGACATTACAGACCAGACCCCGGCCTGAGGGCCAAGTCCAGCCCTCTGCCTGTGCCGGCGAATAAAGTTTTATTGGAGCCCAGCCACGCTCATTCATTTACGTGCCTCTTGTCTCCGGCTGCTTTTGGGTGACAGCAGCGGAGCGGAGGAGCTGCCATAGAGAGTGTGACCCCAACGTGTGGACTGTTTGCTCTCTGGCCTTCCAGAGAAAGTTCCCCGGCCTTAGTCTAGGCCAGTGGTCGGCAAACTGCGGCTCGCGAGCCACGTGCGGCTCTTTGGCCCCTTGAGTGTGGCTCTTCCACAAAATACCGACTTCTGCGCATGGGCCACGAAGTTTCAATCGCACTGTATGTGTGCGCCCGCACGTGGTATTTCGTGGAAGAGCCACACTCAAGGGCCAAAGAGCCGCACGTGGCTTGTGAGCCGCGGTTTGCTGACCACTGGTCTAGGCTGTCTCTTCGGCAGCTTTGTGATCCTCCCCAAACACCCCATCCTGGGAAGAGCCCTTGGGTGCCTGGACTAGCCAGTTCCCAAGAGCCCCCCCCCCCCCCCCCCCCGTAAGCTCCCCCTTTGTCCCTGGTGAACGTTCTGTGAACTGCGGAGCCCTCCCCTCAGGTTCACGCCGGGAGGAGCTAGTGTTAGTCTCCTTTACAGACGAGGGGTCTGGGCCGGGGTGCACCCGCTCCCGCAGGGGCCCCCCGCGTGTACACGGGTCAGAGCTGCAGTTGGACCCCAGGCTGTCTGGCTCCAGAGCCTGGGTGTAGCTGCCACACTGTGCCGCCTGTGGAGCTGGGGCTCCCAGTGCTCCCCAATCCACCCCCCACCGCCCCTGCAATCCCGTCTCTGTCGGGGCTCAACGCTCTGGCCCGAGCAGGGAGCCGCGAGCGGCCGGCTGCAGGGCCCCCCTCCTGCCGCAGGCGCCAGAGGCCTCTTCCTGGGGAGATAGCAGCTTCCCTGCAGTGCACACTCATCTGGTTCTCACACAGCGACGGAGTAGACCTCGTCACCCATTTCACAGATGAGGAAACAGAGGCTCAGAGAGACTAGGCGACTTGCCTGAGATTCGTCTGATTCCAGAGTCCATGGGAGTCATTCTAAAATCCTGAAAGGGCAGGGAAACGCCTCTTCGCCGTCACCTTTCCAGTCTCCTTCTCAGGAGGGTCGAGGCCTGAGGCCGCCTTACCGCAGGGCGAGCGGAGGGGACAGCCACGCTGCCTGGGTCCTCGCCCCCGTGAGGCGGCGTGGGGTCTCCTGCCCCCGCTGCGGAGCTGGCCGAGGCCTGTGGGGGGAGGGCCAGGCGAGGCTCCTGCAGCCGGCGCCCTGCTGTCTTCCAGCCATCCTGGTGATCGAGTTCATCTATGCCATCGTGGGCATCGTCTGGCTCACTCAGTACTACACCTCCTGCAACGACCTCACTGCCAAGAACGTCACCCTCGGTACGTCGCCACCCCCCCCCCACCCCCCGCCCAGCAGAGGGACAGGTCTGAGAGGGAGCGGGAGCCCCCCGGGGTGGGGGCCCTGTGAGGGGCGGGGCCTTCATCCTGTGGTCTGCCACCGACCTCGGGGGCCCTGGTCTGGGGGCAGCAGCGGAGGGCCCTTCAGCCGCCGCAGAGCCGCCTGCTCTGAGCCAAGGATGGGCCTCGGGGTCACGGCCCGGCGAGGGGACGGCCACCCCCTGAGCCGGGGCCTCGGAGCCTGGCTGCGGCGGGTGCCCAGCAGCGGGGGGCAGGGAGGCTCCCGCGCCCTCTCTTTAGCGCCGGTGAATCGGGGTGTCCCAGCGCCTCCGCCTCCTGCCTCTCCTGCTGCCCCCGCAGGGATGGTCGTCTGCAACTGGGTGGTCATCCTCAGCGTCTGCATCACCGTCCTCTGCGTCTTCGACCCCACGGGCCGCACCTTCGTCAAGCTGAGAGCCACCAAGAGGAGGCAGCGCAACCTGCGGACCTACAACCTCCGGTGAGTGGCCGGGCGGCGGGCAGGGCGGTCCCCACGGGGCCTCCCAACGGCACCGCCACCTCGGGCGGGGCCCGGGGCCGCCGGCTGTGAGCCCTGGGCTTGGCCTCCGTTTCCTGGTCCATAAAGTGGGACTCGCGGTGGTCCCGGCCTCATGCAGCTGTCATGAGGCATGAACGAGGTCGCGCGTACGAAGTGGTCACAGCGTTCTCGCTGGCGCGTGCTCGGTCAGTGGTCGCGTTGCTGTCGCTGCCCGCGTCTGCGGTGCCACTGCCAGTGACTGCGCCAGTGATAGCAGGAGGCGTGTGGAGGCCGAGCCGGTCGTACAGCTGAACTAACAGCAGCTCCAGGGGGGCAGCTGATACCATCACCCCCATAACACAGAGGAGGAAACTGGGCCCCGAGAGGGTAGGTGACTGGCCTGAGGTGACTCCGCGGGCAGGTGATGGGGCTGGGACCAAGCCCAGGCAACCTGGTTTTAGAGCCCTGGCTCTTTCCCGCGAGGCTGGGCTGCCTTTAGGATTGAGGAGCCGGAGGAGGCCCATCAAGGAAGGCTTCCTGGAGGGGGTGCGTTTTAAACGGTGATTCAGTGCCGTGGGAGAGAGAAGGATGGCGGGCACCCAGGGTCACAGGCACTCTTATTTATTGAAAGGAAAAGAGAGGGGTTTCCAGGGTGGGTGCTGTTCATTGAGCTTCTGCCGAGAGGTAGGCCCTGCCTTCTCCATCGTCCGTCCTTCCACCATCCCTGGGGCAGCTGAGTCCCATTCTGCAGATAGGAGTAGAAGTCCCAGAGGCAGGTCCCTTGCCCAGGTCACGTGGGTGGGCACAGACTGGCGCTGCACCTCCAGCCCCAGGAAGCGGGGTCTGAGCCCTCAGACGGGGCGGCGGGTTGCCCCGGCACCGTGCTCGGCAGGAATCTAACGCCCGACCCTCCTGCCTCCACGTTCCGCTCCCTCGGGCCTCCACGTCAGCTCAGCCCTGCAGCCAGAGGCACACCCAGGCCCGGGTGGCCACTTCCCAGCCCCAGATGCCAGGCCTTGGACAGGCCCCAGTGCAGCTGGCGACCAGCACCCGTCCCTTCCCGTCCCGTCCCGTCCCGTCTGTGTGCTCACTCTGAGCACACGCCCCCGCCTGACCTGGTTTCTGGGCTCCTGGGGCCCCAGATAAAAATCTCCTCTCTGGGGCTCAGTGTAATTGCCTGTGGGGCCCGGGAGGGCCGAGGTCTTTGCAGATGGGGGTTGGCAGTGGCTGGCGTTTTAGCCGCAGAGTCTTCCTGTGACCTCTGGGCCTGTGCGGCGAGTAGGAGGCCGCGGAGCTCCTAGGCCCCGTCCTGTTGCGGTTTCTCCAGCCCTCGGTGGGGCTGGGCGGCAGGCCCTGGCTTGGCTGGTGTGCCCACCTCTCAGGCTGTCCCCTCGCCTCCCGCTGCTCTGAAACCGGCAGCTTTTCTAACAGGGACGGGGTCAAGCCCGCCGACCCTCCATCCTCGGTGCATGCAGGCTCAGGGGTGCACACGCGCCCTGCTGTGCTCCCCGCAGGTGGATTCAGCTTCCGGGAGTCAGGAAGCTGTTGGAGCCCCCCGCCTTTCTCCTTCCAGTGCCGTCGTGAGGGCCGGGAGGCGGGTGACTCCCCGAGTCTGCACCTCTGATCTTTGCTGAAGGAGTACGGGCCCTCCCTTCACGTTAGTGAGTCCCAGGGCGGAGGAGTGCTGGCCTGCGGACTTGTTCTGTCCGGATTCCGTGTCTGTCTCACCCGGGTTGGTCTCTGTCGCCTGACTTAACGCCTTAGGCCACACCTGTCCCCGGCCCCGTCTGCCCCCTGGTGGACACAGACAGTACTGCAGCGCAGTGATGGCCAGCACTTGCCTGGGGCCAGAGACCCACCCAGCAGGAGATTCTCTTCGAAGCTTTGAAAACCCCGTTAGGCTAGAAAGGGTTAAAAACACACGCTGCCCTGGCAGCCAGCTTGGCAGCATGCTTTCCCTTTACCGAGCGCCTGGCAGGGGGGGCGCTGGTCTCGGGTGTAAGCCTGCCCAAGTCCCGTCGGGCTGGCAGGTCCCGGAGCCAGCAGCTCCGTGCACCCTTCCCCACCCCTGGAGGGCCCGAGGCTTCCCCTGGCCTGTGGGACCAGGGTTGGGAGCAGGGAGCGGAGCCAAGAGGGCGGGGAAGGAGGGCCCCGGTCACTCCTGACCTCGGCTACGTGCCTTCATGCGTTCGGGGCCCACGCCTTCCCCGCTGGGCCACCTCCCAGCGGGCTCTGACGGGGCCAGCAGGAGGGCACACGTCACAAAAGCAGCCAGCCCCTTCTTGCTGGAGATACACGTTTTTAATAGCGGATCTGTTATCTTTATGCTCAAAACAGACCGACTTCCGGGCACCCGGCACTAGAAGGGCCCCCGTGGGTAACTGGCCATCGCTCTGCCTTCGGATGCGGGCTCCTGGATGTCTGCCACCGCATCCGAGCTGCCAGACCTGGGGGCTTGGGGGGGGCGGGGGGGGCAGTGTGGCCCAGGCCAGCCGTGCAGGGAGGGCTGGCCCGCTCTCCTCTGCTGTAACACATCCAAGGGGCCAGGAAGTTCAGAGCCTCATTCAGCCCTTAGACTTCCCCCAAGTACAGAGAATGTATCCGAAACCCTTTTTGAAATTAAGTTAAATTTTAAAAAATATATTTTTATTGATTTCAGAGAAGAAGGGAGAAGGAGAGATAGAAACATCAGTGATGAGAGTCATCAGATCAGCTGCCTCCTGCATGCCCCCAAGTGGGGGTTGAGTCCACAACCCGGGCATGTGCCCTGGCTGGGAACTGAACTGTGACCTCCTGGTTCATAGGTCGACCTTCAGCCACTGAGCCACGCCGGCCAGGCTGAAATCCTTTGGAGGGGAAGCAGCTCTGTGGGACAGGTTGGGGCTCCCAGCTCCGAAGCCCCCCAGGCAGGCGGCGTTCAGTCTGCCTGGACGGTGGGCGCACCGCCTTAGGCCAGCGGGAGTCCCCCCAGGGGACAGCCAGGCCACTGGCCACCCAGCTTTGGCTGTCAGGGAGCCCTTCGGGGGGGTCCTGGGCCCAGGCCACCCTGTGTTCCTAATGTCTGGGCCCCGGGTCCGCCGGGCCAGCCCCGTGGCCTCACACACACTCTCCACCTTCGCAGGCACCGGTTAGAGGAGGGCCAGGCCACGAGCTGGTCGCGGCGGCTCAAAGTGTTCCTCTGCTGCACCCGGACGAAGGACTCGCAGTCAGTAAGTACCGGGAGGTCGCGGCCCGGGCTCCGCCTGCGCTGGCAGAGCGGGTGGGCAGGGCTGGCGGAAGGAGCTGGGTTTTGAGCCCGACTCCCGGGGGCCATCCTGCTCCTGGGAGCCCCTCTGCGTGTGAACAGCTGGCCCCTTGCCCTGTCAAGGGAACAGAAAGACATGAAGGTCTTTCACTGCCCCCCTGGGAGCTGAGTCTAGTGCAGGAGAAGACACCCTCCAACAGCAGGAGACCGGAAGACAGGAAAGCAGCGTGAGCAGCTGCAGGCCCCTCGGAAGGCCCTCCCGCTGGAGCTGTGAGTGCTCGGCGCGGTCCAGGCGCGCAGTCAGCCTTCGCCACTGCCAGCGGTGCTCGGAGGGGCAACCCGAGGGCAGACCTGGGGCCGGGCCAGCGGGGGGCGGTCCTGAGGCCAAGCTCCTGGCTCTGGTGGGGCCCTTGGCGATCATCTATTTCCATCCCCCGATTTGCAGATCGGACAGCTGAGAGGTGGGTGGCTTGCTCAGCTCCCACAGCCAGTTAGAGGCAGAGCCAGGGTCAGGAGGCACCTCCTCCCCGAGCAAAAGCAGGTGCTCCACAGAAGCCCCAGAAGCCTTGACAGGCTCCTTCCCACCTGCAGGTCCTCGGGAGCTGCAGCGTGAGGGATGAGGTGTAAGGAAACACCCCCTGCCCCCTGAGGTTCTCTGATGGATGGGGAGCACCCCCACGGGCCTAGGGGGTCGGAGGGTCACAGCCCAGCACCTGGTGCACAGCAAGCCATGCAGAGGGCAGGGAGCAGCCCCCTGGCAGATGGGGTGCAGCCTGCCAGGGCCCGTGAGAGGCCCACGTGGAGTCAGGGCTGGTGCTGGAGGCTGTGGAGAAGGCGGAACATGGCAGGGGCCCGGGGTCAGGTCCAGGGCAGGGTTTGCTGCGTTGTTTTAAAGCTTGAATTGGCCAGGCTGGTGTGTGGCTCAGTGGTTGAGCATCAACCTGTGAGCCAGGAGGTCACGGTTCGATTCCCGGTCAGGGCACCTGCCCGGCTTGTGGGCTCCATCCCCAGTGGGGGTTGTGCAGGAGGCAGCCGATCCATGATGCTCTCTTGTCATTAAGGTTTCTATCTCTCCCTTCCTCTCCCTTCCTCTCTGAAATCAAAGAACATATATTTTTTTGAAAAATAACAATTAAAAAGAATAAGAACTTGAGCTGGATGCCAGCATGGAGAGCCAGGGGCGTGCAGGCAACATCTGTGTGTCTGGGTCTGCAGGGCTGCTCGCCGGCGCCGAGTCGTAGCTGGAGCCCCGTTCGGCCCGTTCGGCGTTGGAGTTTGCAGTCCTTGATTTTTCTTCTCTCGCGAGTGCCAGACACTCCAGGGTGAAACCCCACGAGAGAGAACCGGGTGCCACCCGTGGCTCCCACCACAGCCTCTCGCAGGTCAGGGACGAGGTTCCGGACTCCAGCTCGGTGTGAGGCAGGAGGAGCCGCCGGGCGTCCCGTCCCAGGTCCCGGGACAGGAGCTTGGTGCTGGCCTCTCTGCTGGAGAGAGAGGCCGGAGGAGGAAGCGTGCAGGGCCCTGCAGGCCTTGGCGCCTGGCGTGTGGGGAGAGAGCGGAGATGCTCCAGCCGGCACCTGTGCGGGCCAGGCGTGAGGGCCCTCGGAGCCCGGGCCAGGAGGGCTGGGCGTGGAGATGCAGAAGCCCAGTCTGCGGGGCCAGGGCAAGGCCCCGGGGCTCCCATCAGAGGGCCTCAGGGGTCGGGGGTCGGGCCCAGCTGGCGCCACGGGGTGCCAGGGCGAACTGCGCAGGGCCCCCCCGCAGACACCCAGCCCCGGGGTTCACTCCCGTCTCGTGTCCTCTCTCCTGCTGCCCCGCCCCCGCCCCGCCCCCCCGGACCTGGTAGGATGCCTACTCGGAAATCGCCTACCTCTTCGCCGAGTTTTTCCGGGACCTGGACATCGTGCCCTCTGACATCATCGCCGGCCTGGTCCTGCTTCGGCAGCGACAGCGGGCCAAACGCAACGCCGTGCTGGACGAGGTGAGCGCCCCGCCCTCCTCCAGGCGGCCTCCCCGCGCCCCCCCCCCCCCCCCGGCCTGGACTAGGCACTGGCCCCAGCGAGGGTCTCCCAGCATCTCCTGCACCGCCCCCCCACCCCTCCAGCCTGGGCTAGGCACTGGCCCCAGCGAGGGTCTCCCAGCATCTCCTGCACCGCCCCCCCACCCCTCCAGCCTGGGCTAGGCACGTGCCAGGAAGAGGTGGGATGATGCTTAGATTGGAAGGGGAGCAGCTGGAGACAGGACAGGACCTGGGCTTTTGGAAGCCGGGCGGGGCCACGGGAGAGCTAGGAACCACGCACTTCTCGGGCCCTTGGGAAGCAGGCAGCGTGCAGAGCAGGGTGCCGGGCCCCCTTTCTCAGCACTGGGCCCCACAGCCGCCTTCACATGCCCGTCTTTCAGGCCAACAATGACATCTTGGCCTTCCTGTCGGGGATGCCAGTGACCAGAAACACCAAGTACCTCGATCTCAAGAACTCGGTGAGTCAGAACCTCCCCACCCCACGCTGTCCGGGTCCCCCTCTCCCTCTGCTGGAGGGACCCCAGCAGGCCACCTGCTCCAGCCTGCCCCTGAGCCCCCCGAGGGCCCCTCCTCTCGGCCTTGCCCCCGTCCCCGTCCCCCGGAACCTCCCCCACGCTGATTCTGCTGCACCCACTTGCCCACACGCCGGATGCCCGGCCCTTCACGAGGGAGCGGCTACTGTTGTTGCTGTCATTGCTGTCGTCATAAAAGGCAGCTGGCCCGGCCAGTGTGGCTCAGTGGTTGACCGTTGGCCTGTAAACCAGGAGGTCACAGTTCAATTCCCGGTCAGGCACTTGCCCGGGTTGCGGGCTCGATCCCCAGTGTGGGGTGTGCAGGAGGCAGCCGATCCGTGATTCTCTCTCATCATGGATGTTTCTCTCTCTCCCTTCCTCTCTGACATCAATAAAAATATATTTAAAAATAAGTAAAATAAAAGGCAGCTGCCGTGGCACTTGGGTTTCCAGCTTCCGGTGGCAGAACCTCTCCCAGCGCCTCTGGTGGAAAGCCAGTCAGTGTGTGTGGCACAGGGCACGGGGCGTCCCTGCCGTCAGCCGGCTCTGCCACCCCCATCCCCCTGGCCAGCCAACTGGCTGTGCGCCTGCCCCCAGTGCCATGACCTTAAGCGAGGCCCTGACCCCTGTGCCTGCTTCCACATGCGTGGATGGCCTGGGCACCCCTTCTGCCCGGAGCTCTGGTGGCAGGGAAGTGAGCCATCTGAGACCGGCTCGCAGCACACAGTGGTGCCAGTCCGGACGCTGCCAGCAAGGATTCATCCTGGCATCTGAGCCCTGGAAGAGCTCGGGTCTCCGTCTGCCCCACCCCCAAAGCAGGCCTGTATCCCCTGTGAGAGTGCTCAGCCCCGAGGGGCAGGGGCAGGGGCAGGGGCAGGCATCAGCCCTAGAGCTGGGGTCCCGCCTGCACCCGGCAGAGGCCGCCGCCCGCCCCGCAGCCTGGGGCTCTGCGGCAGGAGGGTAATCAGCTGGCCCAGGCTCCTTCCCCCTCTGGGCCCTGACTCAGGGGCACCTTTCCCACCGCTCAGGGTGGCTCATCCCCACTCACGCGGACGAGGCCACTGACTCCCTCTCCACGCAGGAGTCTCCCAGCCCCGGGGCAGCCAGGACACTGGGTGCAGCTTTGCTCTGTGGGGACCCTGGTGCCTTCTGCCTCCTCCAGCCCTTGGGGTTGACAGCAACAGCCCTGGCCCTAGACATGGGTTTCCAACTGGCGCCTTTCTCCAGAGAGACCCCAGTCTGCCCAGAGAGGTGCCAGTCTGCCCAGAGAGGTGCCAATCTGCCCAGAGAGGTGCCAGTCTGGCCAGAGAGATCCCAATCTCCCCCCTGCCCCTTTTAAGCCAGTGACTCAGTGCGTCAAGTTAGGGAGTCGGCCACTTGTCTGGTCACCTTGTATCCAGGGCTGGCCCTGCTGCTCAAGGCCCCGACACCCCCAGCGGAGGGCCCGGTGCCTCTCAGGGTTACGTTTCCCTTCCCAGGGCCAGGCTGCCAAGGGGGCTGATGGTCACTCCCTCTCCCCCTCCCCCTCTCTTCCCTCCAAGTGCTTCTCTGTCCCCAAAACATTAATTCTGAGGCCGGAGCAGCAGGACAGGTCCCGGGGGATGCGCGCCCTGGTTGCGTGGAGATAATTAGGGAAATGCAATTATCATCTGGAGGAGCGGTCCCTCCTCCAAGGCGGGGGGGGGGGGGGCGGGGGGCGCCTGCAGCCCGCGGGCCCCAGGCTGCCGTGTGAAGGTCAGGAGGTGACCGCTGCCCCCTCTCTTGCAGCAAGAGATGCTGCGCTACAAGGAGGTCTGCTACTACATGCTGTTCGCGCTGGCCGCCTACGGCTGGCCCATGTACCTGATGCGGAAGCCCGCCTGCGGCCTCTGCCAGCTGGCCAGGTCCTGCTCGTGAGTACCCCGCCCCCCCGGCCGCGCCTGAGGGCCGGGCTGTGGAGCTGGGCCCTGGCCTGCCCCCCGAGGCTGCGCTGCTTCTCCTCCGGGCCCTCTCTGGGCCTCGACCCCCCCAGCTCGGCATGAGCCCTGGGCGGTGGGGGGAACACGTGGCTGTGGGATCCTACGGTTCCGGGTGTGAATCCGGGCTGTGGCCTGGCACGGGGTGTGGGGACTCTCAGGTGCGCTGAGGGGGTCACCCGTGGCTTCCGAGACTGGGCTGCCCCCCGTTTTCTCGGCAAGGCCTCCCCGCCTTGGGAAGCGTGTAGCGGTCGAGTGAAGACAAACGTTCTTACCGACATCATCAGCATTCGCTTCTTCATGAAACCGCAGCTGTCATCGCAGACAGCGGACAGGGGCCGTCACGTGCTCGCCTGGCTCTCGGCTCATCTGCTGGGCGCTGGCGCCCTCTGGTGGCCAGAGGAGCCGCTGCACCCCGCTGGGTGCCTAGCTCCGCTGCTCACACCCTTCATTTGGGGGGAGCCTGTGGGGCGTCCCGGCCCTGTTTGGGTGCCGGAGACAGAGCAAAGCCTAGTGGCCTGTGGGGAAGTCAGACCATGCGCACGGGAAGCAGAGCCCGTTGGAGCAGATGAGCGGGAAGGCGGGGTGCTAGGGGAGGGGGCCGGGGTGGACGGCACCCTAAATAACATCGCAGCCTCGGCCCGAAGGAAGCGAGGCGTCCGGCCACACAGGGCCCAGGAGAGTGTCAGGCGGAGTGTGGCTGTGGGGACACTGAGGCAGGAACACGGCCACACGGCTGAGGGAGGCCAGGAGGCATGTGGCCCGGGGGGAGAGAGAGGCAGCGGCCCAGAGAGCCAGGCCAGATGGGCAGTGCCCGGCCGCCGGAAGGGCCCAGCCCTACCGTGGGCAAGAAGGGCAGCGTTGGCTGGTTTGGGGTGAAGTGACCCTCGGCTGGTCCGAGTTGTATCGGAAAGGGTCACTCTGGCTGCCGAGTTGAGAAGGAAGGTGGGGGCTGAGAGAGACCGGCAGGCCAGGGGGACACCCCGAGGCAGAGGTCAGGGTGGCGGGGAACAGGTGCAGGGGTGGAGGCGAGGGAGAGCAGGCAGAGTCCAGGTGGATCTGCAGGGGGAGTGAGCTGCTGTGCTGACCCCTGGACATGGGCTGTGAGGTGGGGAGGGGACCCCCGTGCTCCGAGCATGGGGCTGAGGGAGGAGCAGCAGGGTTGGGGGACAGCGGGGAGCCCTCGGGGCCTGGGACCTGGAGAGGCTGAGACCCCATGAGCGGGGGATGGGAGCACCTGGGTGTTCGTGGGCACAGGTGGCACCGAAGCCCGAGACTGGGCGAGGCCCTGCCGGGGCCGGCGTGGCCAGAGGAGGGGAGGCCGGCCTGACCCTGGGCCTCGGTGAGGGGACGGGCGAGGAGGCTGCGGCGAGGGAGATGGTCCCGGAGAGAGGGCACCCAGGGGCGGAGGAACTGTGGGTCACAGGTCACCTGCTGCCAGGGGCCAAGAGGGCAGCCTGGGACCCGGCCCCGTGGAACTTTGCAAGGAGCCTGAGAGGGTGGGGCTGTGAGAGCGGGTTCCAGGGGGGGTGACGGGGGAAACTGCTTGTCGGGGTCCCTGCACTGAGCCCCTGGTACACCCCCAGGTGCTGCCTGTGCCCCTCTCGGCCCCGGTTCGCGCCTGGCGTCACCATCGAGGAAGACAACTGCTGCGGCTGCAACGCCATCGCCATCCGGCGCCACTTCCTGGACGAGAACCTGACGGCGGTGGACATCGTCTACACCTCCTGCCACGACGCGGTGAGCGGCCGGCGGGCTGGGCCAGGCCGGCGTCCGCTGCGGCGGCCGAGGGCCCAGGTGCCCACACTGTCCCTGGCAGCAGGCCTCCCCTAGCTGGGCAGCACAGAGGTGGGCCTTTGCCCCACACCCCCGCTGGGGCTAGGACAGCCGTGGGCAAACTACGGCCCGCGGGCCGAATCCGGCCCATTTGAAATGAATAAAACTATTGAAAAAAAAGACCGTACCCTTTTATGTAATGATGTTTACTTTGAATTTATATTAGCTCACACAAACACTCCATCCACGCTTTTGTTCCGGCCCTCCGGTCCAGTTTAAGAACCCATTGTGGCCCTCGAGTCAAAAAGTTTGCCAACCCCTGGGCTAGGAAGTGGACCCCAACCCCACACCCAGGGTTGGGACTCCCCAGCCTCAGCCTTTGGGAGAAGGAATCCGGGAGGAAGCCGCAAGGCCCTGGGGAGGGCAGCCACCTCCCTGGACGCAGCCAGCAGGGGGCAGCACCTGGGCGGCCTGAGTCCGGAGCTGGGAGGCAGCTGGGCTGTGACCTGGGCCGGGAGGGATCTACCAGGACGGCTGGGGGTGGGGGGGTGGGGCCGGTGGCTGGAGGAGATAGACTCCCTGGCAGGGAAGGCGTATGCTGAGGGCACCCGCTGCGTCTGGCCCCAGCCCAGGGCTGCTCAGGCTCACAAGCCGCCCTCCTCCCAGGTGTACGAAACCCCCTTCTATGTGGCGGTGGACCATGACAAGAAGAAGGTGGTGATCAGTATTCGGGGAACCCTGTCCCCCAAGGTAGGCTGCCCGCACGGCTCCCTGCCCACCACGGGGACCCCTCACAGCCCCTGAGGGATGCCGCTTCTCTTTTCCTGTCCTCAGCCCGCCCTCGCCTGTCCCCTCTCCCCAGGACGCCCTGACGGACCTGACGGGTGATGCCGAGCGCCTGCCCGTGGAGGGGCACCACGGCACCTGGCTGGGACACAAGGTGCCGCCTTGTGGGCCCCGGCCCCCGGCTTCCTCCCCTGCCAGCACGGGGACCTGTCCTGTGGGGGGTGGGGTCCTCCCTGCTGGCTGGGCTCACTGGTAGAGACTGGTCAGAGAGGTGTGGGTTGCTGAGAGGTCCACTGGGGCTCACTGGCCAGGACCCATAGTCCTGCCTGGCCTGGATCCTGACCCAGAAGAGCCCGGGGAGGCAGCTGGGAAGAGATCCCACTGGTTTCTATAGACACACAACCCTCTGAGCCTCGGTTTTCTCATCTGTGAAATGGGAACAATGTCATAAAGTGCCCACCAGCCCAACAGCCAGGTTGTTATGAGGCCAAAAGGGGCACGTGGGCAGGACAGGGCCGTGAGCTGCTGGTCACTGTGGTTTGGCTGGTCGCTGAGGGGCCTCCCTCCCTCCCGAGCCCTCCCCCAGCACTGACCTCTGTCCCCCCTCACCCAGGGCATGGTCCTCTCGGCCGAGTACATCAAGAAGAAGCTGGAGCAGGAGATGGTCCTGTCCCAGGCCTTCGGGAGAGACCTGGTGAGGCGCTTTCCGTGCAAGGCGCCCAGTGGCTGAGCGCCGGGTTGGGGCAGGGGACCCGATGCTTCTAACGGGGTGCAGTCACCTCACCCAGAGGTCGTTCCCAGTGCAGATGCAACGTCTGGGGGAGGGAGTCTGTCCTGGAGAGTCAGGAAGGGGTGACTTCTGAGCCAGGTTCCGAAGGAGGAGTATGGTTTGTTAGGACAGTCTCCCCAGACGTTGCTCTGTGGGGCCCAGCTTGGCTCTTCCTGCCCCGCGGCCGCCGCACAGGCACCATCAGGCCCCGGGCAGGAGCCTCTGCCGGTGGTCCGAGCCCGACAGCGAGCACACCTGCGCGGGGGCCGGCTCTCAGGCTTCTCTCGGTCCCAGGGCCGCGGAACCAAGCACTACGGCCTGATCGTGGTGGGCCACTCCCTGGGCGCGGGCACCGCCGCCATCCTCTCCTTCCTCCTGCGCCCCCAGTACCCGACACTCAAGTGCTTCGCCTACTCCCCACCTGGGGGCCTGCTGAGGTGAGCTGCGGGCCCGGGGATCTCGGGCTGGGGCTGGTGGGCCGTCGCTCTCGTCAGTGGGGGCCTGGGAATGGCCTGGTAAGCGGAGGGCGGGGCTCTGTCAAGTGCCAGGGGCACCCAGATCTGCCTTGGGCAAAGCCCTGCTGGCGGGAAGGGCGGGGCAGGAGCAGACAGTGCAGCCTGGCCCGTGCACTCCCCAGGGGGCACTGAGACTAGAAACTGCCCCCCCTGAGCCCCCGCCCCCCCTGAGCCCCCGCCCCACCTGAGCCCCCGCCCTCCTGACAGTCCTGCCCTCCTGAAGGCCCCGCCCCACCTGAGCCCTCTGCTTCCCTGCAGTGAGGACGCCATGGAGTACTCCAAGGAATTTGTGACGGCCGTGGTTCTGGGCAAAGACCTTGTCCCCAGGCGAGTCGCTGCTTCCTCTTGCTCTCAGCCCGGCTGTTCCTCCCTCCTCCGGGCCTCCCTGGGCTCAGGGCTCCCTCACTCAGATGCCTGTCTCCCCGAGGGACAAGGGGCGCCAGAGCCCCTCCCGTGCCCTCGGGTGTCCCAGCCTGGAGGACCCGCCCTGCCTGGCCTCCCCTTCCCTGGCTCGGCCCTCTGCCCACCCTGGGACCCTGGCAGCCTGGCCCTCCTGTTCCAGGGCTGGCATGTGCCTGTCCCGCTGCCCTCGCTGCCCCCGCTGCCCCTCCCCCTGTGCCTCTCCTGGCCTCTGGCCAGGCCAGGCTGACGCCCCCTCGTTCCTCTCCCAGGATCGGCCTGTCGCAGCTGGAGGGTTTCCGCAGACAGCTCCTGGACGTCCTGCAGCGGAGCACCAAGCCCAAAGTGAGCCCTCCCGCCCCGCCTGGGCCCCCGGCTCCGGGCACCTGGTCTGCCGCGTGTGCGCCGCCTGTGCCCCCGCCCACAGCACAGCGGCCCAGCCACGCGTGGCCAGGCTGGGGTGTGGTTGGTGCCAGGGCACCTCAGGTCATCAGAGCTCACCCCCCCCCCCCCCGCCTGCCCTGGTACTCGTGGGGAAACTGAGGCCACAAGCAGGCAAGGGACTTGCTTTGGTCACACAACAAGTAGTAACTGAGTCAGTGTCCTGCCGCGGGCCCTGGGTCCCGCAGTGTCCTGCCGCGGGACCTGCCCCACAGAGCTGCCCAGAGTCGGGAGGAAGCAGCCCCACTCCGGGCTTCGTGTGGGACGGAAAGGCCTCTCCCGAAGCCGCCCGTGGCCCCCGACTCCGGCAGGCGGGCGCTCCCCCGGGGTCAGTGCGGCTCGCTCCGATTTTCCACAGCGGCCGAGCGAGGTGACCCGCCCCTCCTCACCCCTCCTCGGGTCTCAGAGGACCCTGTGGCCAGGCAGGGGCGGGAGTGCTGGAGCTGCGCCTGGAGGTGGGCAGGGGCAGCCTGGACCGGCGGGTCCTCTGTGCCCCCAGCCCTCATCCCATTTGCCGTCTCAGCCCAGGTTGGACTCTTCCCAGCCTCGGTGTCCCTGGCCCTCTGGCAGGCAGGACCGGGGCCAGGTGCCAGGTGCCAGGGTGGGCCGGGCAGTGCGGTCCCAGTGACCGGTGTCTGCCTGGAGGAGCTTGTGGGGCTGGAGTGGGCTGTCCCTGTCAGACCCTGTCCTGGGCGCTTGTCGGGCCCGGAGTCGGGGCTGGGTACCAGCCCGAGGCAGCCAGGCTAGCAGGTGCAAGTCCCTCCCCCTCACCGGGCCGTTCCCCGCCCGCTAGATCAGGGGTGGCTGGTCCTCCAGGGCCTTCCCCACCCAGAACCTCAACAATAGCTTAGGTCTGCCCCTGACGTCTTGGCGGCCGTCACGGCTGCCGTCCAGCTCAGACACTGCCTCTTCAGGTGGGCACTGCCCTCCCCTCTGCCCGTGGCCACCCCAGCTCCCACCTGTCACCTGTGAGCCCTCCATCTGAGTTCCTCCATCCCCGCCCACCCAGCCATCCTGCCCAGCTGGCCCGTCTCCCCCTCCCCCTGCAGTGGCGAATCATCGTGGGAGCCACTAAATGCATCCCCAAGTCCGAGCTGCCCGAGGAGGCGGAGGTGACCGCCATGGCCAACACGCGGCTCTGGACCCACCCCAGCGACCTGACCATCGCCCTGTCGGCCAGCACCCCCCTCTACCCGCCCGGCCGCATCATCCACGTGGTGCACAACCACCCCGCAGAGCAGTGCTGGTAGGTGCTGCCCAGACCCTCGGCGGGAGGTGGCGCCCAGACCCTCGGCGGGAGGTGGCATCCAGACCGTCGGCGGGAGGTGGCCCCCAGACCCTCCTAACCAGGCTGGGAGTGGGGGTGGGGGCTGAGGGCAAGACAAGAGCCAGGATCAAGGACGCAACCCTGCTGGCCAGGCGGACCTGAGGCCACCAGGTCCACGCGCCCCTGCTAAGCCCGGGCAGAGAGCAGAGCCAGGGCAGGGGTCAAGGCCAGGCTGCCGCCCCCCTCAGCGTCTCCCTGGCCCCGTGCCCCTCAGCTGCTGCGAGCAGGAGGAGCCCACGTACTTCGCCATCTGGGGCGACAACAAGGCCTTCAACGAGGTGATCATCTCCCCGGCCATGCTGCACGAGCACCTCCCCTACGTGGTCATGGAGGGGCTCAACAAGGTGAGGCCGGGCGCCGGGCGGGCCCTCAGCCGCAGCGCCGCGAGCTGGGTCTGCGGCCCCCGACTGCAAGCGAGGGTGCGGGTGCTCAGAGGGGTTAGCTGCACCCCCGGGAGGGCTGGGGGTGCCGAGAGCCGACTCGTGTCCTGGTCTCTGCACCCTGCTCTGTCGCGTGGCCGTGTCGCCCGTGGTGAGGAGCTGAAGAGACGCCCAGGGCCTGTCCCTAAGGCAGCTGAGCTCCGAGGCCCTGGAGGCACCCGGCACTGACCGGTGCCAGCCAAGCAGGGGCAGTCTCAGCGCCGCCGGCCACAGAGGCTGACCACAGGGAAGGAAAACTCGGTCCTGGGGCGAGGCACGGTCACAGGGCCAGTCCAGGCCTTCCTGGAAGGGGGAGGACCTGGGGTGTAGGGAGTGGGGCCCGCTGGCCTCACACAGCCCTGAGAGGCTCGGCCTGTAGCCCACCCCACATGTGACGGCCACCCGCCCACCACCACCAGCTTCCCGTCCTGCCGCAGGTGCTGGAGAACTACAACAAGGGGAAGACGGCCCTGCTCTCTGCAGCCAAGGTCATGGTGAGCCCCACCGAGGTGGACCTCACTCCCGAGCTCATCTTCCAGCAGCAGCCGCTGCCCACTGGGCCGCCCGTGCCCGCCGGCCTCGCCCTGGAGCTGCCTCCCGCAGACCACCGGAACAGCAGCACCAGGTGATCCTCGCCCAGCCCTGGCCCGGGGGTGTGTGCAGAGCCCAGAGTGTGCTCTCAGGGCACGTGTGTTCCCGGGCACGTGTGCTCACAGAGCATGTGTGTTCTGGGGCACGTGTGTTCCGGGGCATGTGTGCTCTCAGGGCACATGTGCTTCCAGGGCACATGTGTTCCAGGTCACATGTGACCTCAGGGCACGTGTGCTCTCAGGGCACATGTGTTCCAGGTCATGTGTGTTCCAGGGCACATGTGCTCTCAGGGCACGTGAGTTCCAGGGCATGTATGTTCTGGGGCACGTGTGCTCACAGAGCACATGTACTTCCAGGGCACATGTGTTCCAGGGCACATGTGCTCACAGGGCACGTGAGTTCCAGGGCATGTGAGTTCCAGGGCATGTGTGTTCTGGGGCACGTGTGCTCTCAGGGCACATGTGTTCCAGGTCACGTGTGCTCTCAGGTCACGTGTGCTTCCAGGGCACATGTGTTCCAGGGTACGTATGCTCGCAGGGCATGTGTGCTTCCAGGGCATGTGTGTTCCAGGGCACGTGTGCTCTCAGGGCATGTGTGCTTCCAGGGCATGTGTGTTCCAGGGCACGTGTGTTCCAGGTCACATGTGCTCTCAGGGCACATGTGCTTCCAGGGCACATGTGCTTACACATGTGTCCCGTGCACAAACCGAGCCTGCACGCTCACACAGCTCTGCACACACATGCCAGAAGGGGCGAATTTGTCCCCTCTGCTCGGTCTCTCTGCCTTGCTGCCACTGCCCCCAGCCTGCCATCTTGAAGCCCACACGGTTAGTGGGCATCTAAGGTACACGGCCCCCTGGTCGCAAACACATAGGTTCACTCAGACCCATTTAGACCCAAACAGATGGACACCCAGGCGCTCACGTACACTCACCGTGTGTGGTTAAGTACATGCACTGAAGCTGACACGGGCAGCTCTAAGCGCACAGCTCCACGCAGACAGTCCCATGTAGGACACACCAAGACAGAGGCCGAAACGCACACACGAGGACACGCTTGGACAGGCAGCCCTGCACGGGGATGACAGACTGCGCCTGCACCCAGACCCAGTCACACAGACACGCGTGGCGGGTGACACGTGGGCAGCTAGTGCATACACTGCACATACAAGCAGAGCGTGCACACAGGCTCCCAGACACCCCCCGCAGTTACACACATTCTTTGGGGGGTCCACCTGCCTCTCTGGGACCCTTTCTGCCCAGGGCGGCCCCGATGTGGCCAAGAGGCTGATGAGATGGGTGATCCATTGCTCCCTGGCCCCACGGGGTCCCTGGCATCTCTCCCTGCCTTCTGCGCATTTCCTGAGGCAGTGCATGCCCAGAGGAGGGGGCGTGTGCATTCTCACAGCTAGAACTGCTGCACCCCCCTTCCCCACCTTCCCCACCTTCATTCACTCCCTGCAGCACATTGGCCCAGAGGCTCCAGGGCCCTGCCCAGCAGAGGGTGAGGCAGGAGGGGGGAGGGATAGAGCTCTGGGAGGGGCACAGGGGGTCCCCCATGGTGCAGTGACAGAGCACAGGTTCCAGGGCCTCCAGCCAGCAGTGCACCCGCCCTGGCTCAACCCAGCATTGGCCCTTTTTCTGTCTTGGGTTCTCGTGAGTTTTCTGTTGTTCTTTTACAAGGGTCCCTGCCCCTAACGGTTCAACGGCGGCTAAATGAACTTGCCCCTCTGCCCCTCCCCAGGCTCCCTCCGGCCAGGGAGCTGAGGGTCAGCCTCTGCACCCCTCCTGAGTCTTGCCCCTCCCTGCCCTGCCCTCTGCAGAAGCAAGTCCCAGTCGGAGATGAGCCTGGAGGGCTTCTCAGAGGGGCGGCTGCTGTCCCCCGTGGCTGCGGCCGCGGCCGCCCGCCAGGACCCCGTGGAGCTGCTGCTGCTGTCCACGCAGGAGCGGCTGGCGGCCGAGCTGCAGGCGCGGCGGGCGCCGCTGGCCACCATGGAGAGCCTGTCGGACACGGAGTCCCTGTACAGCTTCGACTCGCGCCGCTCCTCCGGCTTCCGCAGCATCCGCGGCTCGCCCAGCCTGCACGCCGTGCTGGAGCGCGACGAGGGCCACCTCTTCTACATCGACCCCGCCATCCCCGAGGAGAACCCGTCGCTGAGCTCCCGCACCGAGCTGCTGGCCGCCGACTCCCTGTCCAAGCACTCCCAGGACACGCAGCCCCTGGAGGCCGCCCCGGGCAGCGGGGGCGCCACCCCCGAGCGGCCCCCCAGCGTGGAGGCCCACGAGCGGGGGGAGGAGGAGGGGGGCGGCAGGGGGGCGCCCCGCGGAGAGCTGGCGCTGCACAACGGGCGCCTGGGGGACTCGCCCAGCCCGCAGGTGCTGGAGTTCGCGGAGTTCATCGACAGCCTCTTCAACCTGGACAGCAAGAGCAGCTCCTTCCAGGACCTGTACTGCATGGTGGTGCCCGAGAGCCCCACCAGCGACTACGCCGAGGGCCCCAAGTCCCCCAGCCAGCAGGAGATCCTGCTCCGAGCCCAGTTCGAGCCCAACCTGGTGCCCAAGCCCCCGCGGCGCTTTGCGGGCTCGGCCGACCCCTCCTCGGGCATCTCGCTGTCGCCCTCCTTCCCGCTCAGCTCCTCGGGGGAGCTCATGGACCTGACGCCCACGAGCCTCAGCAGCCAGGACTGCCTGGACAAGATCCGGACTCCCAGCCTGCCCGGCGCGGCCGGCGCGCAGGAGGACCTGGCCATCTCGGCGCGCTAGCCCCGGAGCAACTGCACCGGCGCCTGTGCCAGAGCCGGTGGCCCCTCCGGCTTCAGGCAGCTCCCCCAGGGCTCCAGGCGGCTGCCCCAGGTCCTGGCAGCTTTGAGGAGAGGCCCCAGGGGCCAGTGCAGCCTCAGGCCTGGGCACAGCTGCTGAGCTGGGGGTCCGTGTCCCTACCTCAGCCTAGGACCCCCAGAGCCAAGGCAGCTGGCAGCTGGGCTCTCCAGACAGGCGAGGGGTGAGGAGTGGGGAAGAGCCCGGGGCCCTGCCATCTGCCCCCCAGGCCTCCTGGCACCCCTACTCCAGGACAGGCAGTGGCATCCTGACTCCCTTCACTGCCCTCTGGCTGCCCTTCCCCACATATTCTCATCTGTGGTCCAGGCCGGCATCTGTCCTGGCCACCCCCCAGATCTGGTGCCTGCTGGCCAGCCCCTGGGTGACCCCCACGGGGGCCTGCAGTGCTGTGTATGTTTACAGAAGCTGCTGGGCGGGGCTCAGGGTGTGTCCTGGGCTTGCAAGCCCCCCCTCCTCAGTCATGTGTTCAGTGGCCCCTCTGGGCAGGGCAGGGGCCTGGAGGAGGTGGGGTTAGGACCGCCCCTCCTCTACTCATGTCCCTCACACTGACCCCTCTGTCGATGGGTCTTGGGCACCCAGGCCTGCCCGCCTGTTCCTTACCTCCCAGCTCGTCTCCACCCCGGGGGTCCTGGTCATTCGAAGGATGGAGGGCACAGCTGGGACCACCCGGCTGCTGAGCTAGTGCCCTGGGGGGAAGGGGTACCCCCATCCCCTCTTCCTTTGAGGGTCCCATGCAGCCCCTCCACATCACTGCCCCCCAAGCCTCAGAAGCCCAGGCCCTCGGATCTGAAACCAAACACTTCCACTCCCCTCGCCCCTCCTCACTGGCCCGTTGACAGAAAGTGGGACCAAGAGTGGGGCCCGGTGGCATCCGGCTCGCTGCTGGGTCAGGGGCTGTGGGGCTGGCCTGGCGTGGCCTGGGGCCTCCACAGCCCCCCACCCCCCCTTGAGCGCTTCCTCCCCTCGGGTTGAGGACGCAGGGGAGGTGGAGACCAGGCCTTCTCCCAGAGGCTGAGTGGGGGGCTGTGCATGCTCGCGTGGGGCACGTGGGTGCATGTGCATGGGCACGTGCCGTTCCTGAGGGAGGGGCCGCGGGGGTGCCCACCCGCCTGCCTGCCGCCCCTCCCCCACCTGCCAAGAAGGCAGCCAGTGACCGTGATGTGGCCGGGACACAGGGTGAGCTCAGTTTTGGACGTCACCTGTTCTCCTGGTCTCACCTGCTGCTCAGACCCCTGATTTGGAAAACATACGTGCCAAGGCGCCGAGCATCCCTGTGCCTTCGTCTCCCCGGAGGCATAACCCTCCCCCACACCCGACCCCGGCCCCACCGTGGCCTCCCGTCCGCTTGGCTCCCCATCCCATGATCACTGGTACCTTGGGCCTGTGCCATGACCCTGACCCCACTCACAGCCGGGACTGGCCCCGACCCTGCCCGCCCTGACCGAGGGGAACAGAGACCTGGAGGGAGCTGGGCCTCCCTCACTCTGTGACTCCCACTCCTCGCCAGGCTCCCAGCCCCTGCCCTGCTGAAGGCCCGCTGCTGGCATAGCCTGGGCCCAGCGCAGAAGCAAGACGAATCAGTGGCCCTGCGAGTGCAAAAGCAGACCAATCAGAAATCAGAGTAACATTCCCACGAGCACCCTGGCCAATGGCAGGGAGCCTTTCGGTCTGGCCTTTCCGCTCCTCCTCCGCCGAGGTGGGCCCGAGACCTCTAAGGGGCGTGGCGCCCACCCGTGCCCAGGACTGAGCCATCAGGGACAGGCTCCCCCCCCAAGGCTGCAGCCACACAGGGTTACAGGCTTGGGGCCGGGGCAGACTTGGACTCAGCCCTGGACGCTCCGGGGCCAGCCCACCCCTACCCTGCCCCCCCCCCACGGGTGGCCTGCCGCGTGTCTCTGCCCTCCTCCCACATCACACTCGGGGGGTCTGAGCCACCCCCCTCAGCCCAGCTCGGCTCAGCTTGACCCCCACTCTGTCCCCCAAACCCGCAGCACAAGCTCTCCCGGCCGTGCGCTGGCCTGACCTCCCTCCGGGGGCGTTGTTGGCCGCTGACCTCCATATGCAATCGATAGCGAGCAGCCGCCCCCCCCCCCCCCCGCACACGCACTCTACGTGCCATTCTCCCGTGACTTTTTTTGTACTTAATGTATGAAAGATCCAAACTAATATTGCTGTACAAAGGAAAGACGAATTAATATAGCCTATTCTATAAATATATCTGTATATACAGGGCTCTGTACATTGTATAGACTGTGTATAAACTGGATGTAGAAGCACGCTGGCTGCCTGCGTGACCTCTCTGCCTAGCAGTTGGGGGGGGGGGGTTGTGGCTGAGGCCAGCGGCAGGGGGCGGGGAGGGGGGACATGTGGCCCTCGCTGCTGCCCAAGCCCTGATCCAGGACCGCACTGAGCGGCCGGCCGAGAGACCAGAGGGCTTGGAGCCCTGTTTGAAGGCAGGCCCTGCCCTGTGAGATGGTGCCAGCGGCCTGTCTGACCCCGTGGGAAGAGGAGTCTGGGGCCAGGCTGGTGCCACCCCCTCCCCCCAGGGCTGAGAGCTAGGGCAAGGGACAGGGACTCCACTCCCCCCCCCCCCCCCCACATCCAGGTACGCAGGGGCCCCTGGAAGTCTTTTCTGATGGCTCCCCCGGGCGCGTGCAAAGTCCCTGGCCGGGTCCAGGGAACCGGCCATCCTGGCTGCGGGACAGTAGGGCCTGGGGAGCAGCTGCAGGACCCGGAGGGGAGGCGCCTTGGCCTCCTGCCAGCCCCAGGTCCCGTCCTGCCCGCTCCACACACCAGGTGGCGCTGCTCCTCCAGTCGGTCCCACCTCCAGGGGCAGTTGGGCCCGGCACTGACCCAGCCAAGCTTTGACCCCACCTTGACCTTCTCCTTTTCCTTACACTGTGCACCCTCCTACCCTGACCCTTGAGCCCAGAGTGACCCTACTTGGTGGTGGGGGCGGGGGCGGGCAGAGGGTAGAACAGTGCCTGTGTCACTCAAGCCCCTGAGCACAAGAGGAAGCTAAGGCTAGAGAAGGGCAGAGACCTGCTCAAGGTCACTCAGGTGGTAAGGTCAGGCCTGGACCCAGGACCCAGACCTCCCAGCCTAGGACGCTGGCCTCCACCCTCACCTAATGGTTTTCAGAGGTTCTTCCCACCCCGTGGTCTCATTTGGTTTGTAAAATGAGCCTCTTCCATTAGTGGGGCAGAAGCAACTGGGGGCCAGAGAGGTTCTGTGACTTGCCCTGGGTCACACAGCAGAGTGTGGCATAGGGAGGGGTCTCGAGAGGGGCTATTCTGGGAGGATCTGGAGGAGGCACGCTGCCTCCCAGTGCCCACTCCGGACACTCAAATGGTCTCACCTGGGAGGAAGGTGCGCGAGAGCTTAAGGGCCCCAGACCCAGGTGTGCCCTCTCACCCTAGTCAAGGGAGGCCGTGCCCCTGGCCTCACTGGCTGTCTGTGTTCCAGCTCACCACCTTTGGGCTTCCTCTGTCCAATGGGAGGAGGCCAGGGCTGTAGGGCCCATGGAGGCCAGGAGGCCTGTGGGAGGGAGGCCTGGCCAGTGGACTGAGCCCCACCCTCTCCTGGGCTGGCCTCCAGCTGGTTACTCATTAACCTTAAGTCCCCGCCTCCCTCTCCCAGGGCTGCCTTCTGTCGGCTGCCTCCTCCTGGCCCTACTGATGGGGGCAGGCCAGCACTGGATGCTGCAGCCGGACCTGGAATCGTCGAAAGTACCATTTATCGATCACTTCCCTGGTCCTTGGCCTGCACTGTGAGGCGGGAGTAAGGGGCTGGTTTACAGATGAGGTTTCTACGGACCGGAAGGCAGGCCTTGGAGGATGGCGGAGCCGGCCACCAGGGACAGCGCATCGACTGGGCCTCGGCTGACTTCTGGGTCCCTCACTCACTGTGGCTGGGTGGGGAGCGGGTGCAGGTGGGGACTCCTCTCCATGGATGGGCCCCTCATCCATGCAAGGATGCAAGGCTCTCTCGGGTGCCCTCACGAGCCCCAGCCACTGGCCTGCCCCCCTTCCCCGCCCCCCGCTCTGCCCCAGCTGGGTGAGTTGGGAGATGGTAGCTTTAACTCTTGACCGAGCCCTCAAATCTGAGTCATTCCAGCCACCCCTTTTCCCAAGCCCAGAGCTGAAATCCCTGGACAGTTGCTTAGTGGCCTCATGGAGTCGGGGGAGATGGCAGGGCCTGAACCCCTAGCCAGGCCAGCAGCCACGGGATTAACGGGAGGCTCCATCCTGCCCCATCCCACCTCAGGGCTACCGGAGACAGTATCCCAGCCTCAGCAGGTGGGTGCTGGGAATAAAACACACGCGTCTCCCCGTACCCCGCCCCTGATGACCAAGACAGCGGCCCGGCTCAGGTCAGGGGACGGCCCTTTGACGGACACGCTGGGCCACGCGGGATGGGACCGCAGGGCCTGGGGGTGGGGGCGGCTTATGAAGAGGCTGGTTTTCCGGTTGGTCCGGCAACTCCTAATACAAGTTCATTTTTTAAAATCGCAGGGCGTAGCTGGGTGTCTACTTCGCCCGCAGGCCAGCCTGCAGGGTGGGGGAGAGCCTGGGGGAGAGGCAGAGCGGAGAGTAACCATTGTCTTCAGGGAGGCTGCAGCGGCAGAGAGACCTCTGGGGGGGTGTATCAGCGGGCAAAGAATAGGCGCCTCAGTGTGGCCCTCCCCCCGCAGCCTGCCCTGCGGGGGGAGCGCACACACAGCTGGGGCCGCCAGCAAACCCGTTCTATATATGTAAGCGCAACAGCCTGCGCCCCCGGGACAAAACCTCATTGTGAGGCACCCGCTGCCTGGGCGCCCCTCCCCCAGCCCCAGAACTGTCATGGCATTGACCCTCCTCGGTGGCCACCAGGGGCCTGCTGACTGGGCCACATCTGGGGCTCAGGCACCGGCCGCCCCTCCCCCCTGGCTGGTCACTGAGGCAGGGATGGGGGGCGGGGGGTGGACGGTCAGCCTCGGTGGGAGCAGCGTCCAGGCTCTCACCCCAGCCCCTCCGGGCGGCCCGGCTCGTCCCCACTCTCCTGCTCTGGGGGCCACCGGCTGGCAGAGCCGAGAGCTCCAGGCTGGCTTGGCTGGCACCCGGACCTGCGCCAGGTCCTCCCAGCCTCGGGCCGCAGCTTCCGTCTCGCCGTGTGGCAGGGCGGTGAGATGGGACGGTTTTCAGCTCGGACTTGCAGAGCCCGAGAGGCTGCGAGCGGAGCGGAGCCCTTCCGCGGCGACATGATTCGCTGGCTCTGAGATTCAGGAGTCCCGGCTTCCGAGGCCCCGGGGGTCGAGGATTTCGAAGTTTGAAAATGCTGTTGTCCAGCCGGGCAGGCACGGTTGGTTCAGTGGCTGAGCGTCGGCCTGTGAACCAGGAGGTCACGGTTCGATTCCCGGTCAGGGCACAGGCCCGGGTTGCAGGCTCGGTCCCAGGGGCGTGCAGGAGGCAGCCCATCCATGATTCTCTCTCATCACTGATGTGTCTGTCTGCCTCTCCCTCCCCCTTCCTCTCTGAAATCAATAAAAATATATATTTTAAACGAAAATGTCGTTGTTCACTCATTCAACACATATCTGTTGAGCATCTGCTGTATGCCAGGTATGTGCTTGGTGCCGAAGCTACAGCAACGATTAAGCCAGAACAATCCCTCCCCCTCACAGGGCTTCCCACCTAGAGCAAGAACAAACACTCAATAAAACTCTCACAGCGAGAAGGAAAGGCCTGCCAGGGGCAACTGCTGGAGGCAGGGTGTCAGACGGGTGATGTGGGAGCTGAGACCCGACTGCTGAGAAAGAGCCAGCCATGCGGGGACAAGCATGATGGGGAGCTGGAACAGCATGTGCCCAGCCCCCGCGGCAGGTGTGAGTGTTGGCGAGGAGGCCTTGGCGGCCGTGACTTAGTGAGCACCGGAGAGAAAAGCAGGCCCCGAGGTCAGGGGTGCAGGCGGGGGCAGACCCGACGAGGCCTTGGGAAGCAGGGCGAGAGGGTTCGCTATTGTTCTGAGTGCAGAGGGAAACCACGGGTTTTGGCAAAGGAGTGACATGACCTGATTTACGTTTTTAAAAGGTGATCTGGAGGGGTTGTGGGGATCCGTGAGGAGGGGGGCTGTGCAGTAGGCAGGAGAGATGAGGCACCCAAAGGTGGAGGGAGGGGATGAGAGAGGCGGGTTTACCTAGGACTCCCCGGGAGGTAAACCCTCCGGCCGCACCCTACCACACGGGGCAGCAGTGACAGAGGGCAGCTCCCAGGGTCGCCAGGGTCCGGCTCTCAACGCTGGCGTTGACCTCATCACCCTGAAACGCTTAGAGCAGTGGTCGGCAAACTCATTAGTCAACAGAGCCAAATATCAACAGGACAACGATTGAAATTTCTTTTGAGAGCCAAATTTTTTAAACTTAAACTATATAGGTAGGTACATTGTTATGAACTTAATTAGGGTCCTCCTAAGCCGGCCTTTGCTAAAAACGTCCTCCATCTGATTGAGGTACGTTCGCCGAGGTCGACCCCTTCCAACTCTCCCATCCACACCCGTCTTGTACACTTGTTTCGTCCATCTCCTTTCCAAAAACCGACTTCCGCGCATGGGCCACGAGGTTTCAATCCCACTGTACGTGGGCGCCCGCACGTGGAATTTTGTGGAAGAGCCACACTCCAGGGGCCAAAGAGCCGCATGTGGCTCGCGAGCCGGGGTTTGCCGACCACTGGCTTAGACCGGTGCCGTCCAATCCTGCAGCCACTCAGGACTACTTAGACCTGAACCTGTTACAATGAAACAGAACAGAAACGTCAGTTCCTCAGCCACCCAAGTAGCCACATCTCACGTGCCCAGCGGCCACATGCGGCTAGTGGCTACCACACCGGCCAGCACGGGGGAACACTTCCGTCATCACAGGGAATGGCACCCACGGCGCCCCCTCGCATGGGGCTTGCTGTCACTGCGCCTCGGTTCCCTCATCTCTAAGGCGCACAGCACAGGGTCTGCTTGGGCCGCGAACCCTGCTGAGGCCATTACTGCCGATCTGGGGTGAGGAGAGGAAATGGGGGGGTGTCTCCGAGGTTTGGTTCTGAAAACCTGGTTCAGAATCCTGCGATCCCCGCCCCCCACCCCTACCCCCCGCCCCCCCCTCCCCCCGTCCGAGGGGAGGGCGAGGACTGCGGGGCAGGGAGCGGCCGCTGACAGCCCCAGCCACGGCGACCCCAGCCCAGCCCGCGCGCCCTCCCGTTCCCCCGCGAGGCCAGGGCGCCCCGCCACCCCCTCCCGGGAAGGACCCCTC